GCATGGCTCCGGGACCCTCTGGCAGTCTGCAGGAATCATAGCCCCACTGCCAGACCGCAAAAGCCCACTGTGTGAATATGGATCAAAGTTTCTTTCTTGTATTTTATCCTCCCCTCTGGATTTTTTTCCCTTCTTTCTCACTTTCTCCCATTTATTTTTTTAAACTTCGTGCAGATTTGTTTTTGAACAGCCTTAGCCACAAAAAGTGTGTGTGTCTTTGGGGGGGGGGGTTGCAAATCTGGAAGCTTTATAGAGAATGGGAGGGGGCACGGGAACATAATCCCCACCAGCCTTTTACAATAAGATTCCTTTAACAAGAAAATCAGACCAGCTGGCTGCAGATAGGAGTCAGAGAAAATGAAGCCAGCAAAAAGGCCCCTGCTCGTGTGATGGGGTAGCAGAGGCTTTGTAGAGATAACAGCCTGGCAGATGAGAGTGAGGTGGTTTTTTAATCATTTGTGGGGAAAGGAAATCAAAATCTAGAAGCGGACACAAGAGATGGGGAGGGGGGGTTACCTTCAAGGTCTGCACCTTTTCTGCCCTATAGCTAAGATACTTGCCTAGCTCTGTGACAATAGCATCTGAGTGCCTCACAGTCTCTGGAGAGCCTGTGTGCCCAAAGTTTTGGCCCAGGCGAGAGAGCATGGGGGCATCATTTGAGCTCTCCGCCTCAGGTGCCAAAATGTTGTGGATCGGCCCTGTCACCAAATGAAATGAATAAGCACCAGGTTTAAAACAAATCACAGGAGGTATTTCTTCACACAACACAGTCAACTTGTGGAACTCCTTGCCAGAGGATGTTGTGAAGGCCGAGACTATAGCAGGGTTCAAAAAAGAGCTAGATGGATTTGTGGAGGGTAGGTCCATCAATGACTATTAGCTAGAATGGACAGGAATGGTGTCACTAGCCTCTCTTTGCCAGAAGCTGGGAATGGATGACAGGGAAGACCCTGGGTGGTAGAAAAGTGCACTTATCTCCATACTATGGTGTGATTTTGAGGCCCAGAGAAACTCACCCACAGTCACCAGGGAATCCTATGGCTGTGCTGGACCCAGGTGTCCTAAAAGTTCCACTGCTACTCTAACCACTGGACCATCCTTTCTTTTCTGGGAGGAGCTGGGGATTGGGTAGGGCTCAGAAATGGAGGTTGTCATGCTCCCCCCCCCATGCTTTATACAAATTGGCTAATGAATATGAATATGCATAACTTGATGCTTTCTGTAAAACCGATCATATAACCTATCAATTAGAATCTGCTGAATCTGTATATCCTATTATTGTGCATGTGTCATTCTTGTATGTGAAGTTAGAAATATGAAGTGTGAATCTGGTGTTCATTTGAAGTGTGCTAAGGGCCATTAGTGATCCTTAAGGAACTTAATGGCTTAGCACTCAAACCAACAATCTGTGAATGGTTTTACAGGCAGTCCCCGACTTACGTGGATCCGACTTACGTCGGATCCCTAGATACGAACGGGGTGAGGCAACTCCCGCACATGCGCAGCAGCATTCCCGGGGCTCGCTCACCTGGGTCCTAGGATCCTCCTCCTCCTCGGGCCGGCTCCGACTGGGGTCCCGCAGAGCTGCCGGGCAGAGGAAAAGTGCCTCCCCACGCCCGCTGCCCCCCCCACCCCGCGGCCTCGCATCCTGCACGCCTGCCCACCTCCTCTTTACCATCATCCAACCCCCACTTTTAATACAAATTCAATTCGTAATTTCAAATTAAAAATAAACACAAAATCTTGGTATAAACATTTTTATTTAAAATTAAAAATAAACACAAATAGTTGCTCCCATGGAGTCACCTGCCACCTGCGTTGCTGCCTCTTTATCAGAGGAAGAGGAGAGGGTAGGTGAAAGCCAGTGCTCTAGGGAGCCAGCTTAAAAGCCAGCTCCCTGCAAGCACCAGCTTTTGCCTGCCTCCCCATCCCTACCCCAACGTGTAAACATGTAACTGCTAAAATTTCAAGCGGTTACACGTTTACACAAATACGCAACAGCTAACATCACTAATCAGCCATAATCCACTGTTTTAGTCAATGGGTTTTTGATGTTTTTCCACATAACCTAACATTGTCAGTTTAACTGGTATTAAGAAAATCATATATTTAAAGGAAATGTTATTCATACTAACTCAGATTCAGATTAGTATTCCTTAACTGTCTGTGGTTGTGACCTGTTTTTCACTTAGATAAGTATAGCATTAAAGACAAGTACAGGCAGTCCCCAGGTTACATGGATCTGACTTACATCGGATCCCTAATTACAAACGGGGTGAGGCAACCCCGCACTAGCTGCTTCCCCCCAGCAGACCAGGGAGACGCGGAGCAGCTTTTCTCAGCAGACACCTCAGTAGTGTAGACATACCCTGAGGGAAGTGAGGTGTGGGAGAATAAAACTGAGCTCTGGAGAAATGTTTGGCTAGAGTTTCCCCTACAATATGTACCAGTTCCGACTTACATACAAATTCAACTTAAGAACAAACCTACAGTCCCTATCTTGTACGTAACCCGGGGACTGCCTGTATTTTTCTTGTAAGCCCAAACTGAGGTTGGCCCTTGTAAACATGCCACCTGGTACTGGACTCCATCCTGAATTTAATACTTTCCCTTGGGGATGGAGAAACTGAACAAGGGGTTCCTGCCCTGGGGCAAAGTCTGTTTAAGGAATGGAACTCAATCAAGTACTGGTCTTCATCAGGCTTGGGAAATTGCCTTCCTACTGCCAGAGGATGCACATGAAAACACCTGGGAACAAAGAACTGTAAGGAAAGGGGGAAGGCAAAGCTGCTGGTCCCAGGTCAGCAAAAGATCAACCCTAGTCTGAGATAACAGTAGCTGTTTAGGGTAAGAGTTTGTGTGTAACCAGTTTCTTAGTAGATTAAAATTAGCTGGTGTGTTTTGTTTGTTTATTTTGATCTGTCTGTTTTCACTTGCAGTCACTTAAATCCTGCTTTTTATACATAATTAAAACACTTTTGTTTATTGTCAAGCCCAGTGTAAATTAATTGTTACCTGGAGGGGGAAAGGAAGCAACCACTGTGCATATCTCTCTTTCATTGATAAAGCGGGATGACTTTATGAGTTTTCTCTGTGTAAAATGTTAACACAGAGTAAGATGGATTTATCTGGGGTTTTGGTCCCTTTTGGGGGGGTGTTTCCTGGGTGCTTTATCAGTAGCCTGATAGCTGAATCCAGCGGGGTTGTCAGACTGAGCTAGTTTGGGAGGGGGCTTCTCCTCACTTTGAAGGGGGCGGGGCTTCAGTGGAAGAAGTGGAGCAGGGGGCAGCCAGCCCTCAGTGGTGCTCGATGCATGCCACACTGCCCTCCAGCCAGCCTTGAGAACTGCCCTGAGCGTGTGGCATAGCGCTCCGGTGATGATTTTAAGGACCTGGGGCTCCAGCCACTGATGTTCTGCTGGGCCCCAAGGCAACTGTCCACTTTACCCCACCCCTCCCTCCCACCATTGGTGGGCCTGGATCAGTCCTTGTACAGCTCAACTGGTTCCGAATCTGTGTTGCTCTGCAAGGGGGTGATTACCCCAGCTCTGTGCCTTGACTGGGAGAGACCGGAGATTCTGGCCCAGCAGGACAGAGTGGTGGGGAGCCCCAGAGGGCAGGAGGTTGGGCATCCGTGGCTTGATTAGCACACCGGGAGCCTACTCCAAGGGGACTTCTATGATCCATCCCCTCATAGCGGTCTATGGTTTTGGGGGTTGTCTGAGAAGGTAGATTAGTTCTTGTTCTGTGGCTCTTCTTACCAGGTTATTCCGTTGCTCTTGGGGTAACGGACATGTCTGGCTGTTTTATGAGGGGATGTCTGAGGACACATTGGCTACATCTAGATTGCATCCCTTTTTCGTAAAAGGGATGCAAATTAGACGTATCAAAATTACTAATGAAGCGGGGATTTAAATCTCCCCTGCTTCATTTGCATAAAAATGGCTGCCGCTTTTTTTTCCGCACGGAGCTTTGCTGGAAAAAAGCGCCAGTCTAGACGCAGATCTTTCAGAAAATAAAGCCTTTTCCGAAAGATCCCTTATCCCTATCCCTTATTTTAAGAGGGATAAGGGATCTTTCGGAAAAGGCTTTATTTCCCGAAAGATCCGTATCTAGACTGGCGCTTTTTTCCAGCAAATCTCCGTGCGGGGAAAAAAAGCGGCAGCCATTTTTATGCAAATGAAGCGGGGGAGATTTAAATCCCCGCTTCATTAGCAATTGCGATACGTCTAATTTGCATCCCTTTTACGGAAAAGGGATGTAATCTAGACGTAGCCCTGGAGCATAGGATGGGCGGTCTTGGGTAGTGATTTATAAAACATGAGAAACACTTACTGGAGATAGGGGAGGAACTGAACTCCTCGATCTAAAGACCCTCAGATTTTGGTCTCTCACTGTAACAGGTCGGGCCAACAACTCTGCATTAGAAACCCTCTAACCAGGCCAGTGTCTGATCATTAGAGGAAGATTTTGGTAGGCTGTTCTGGTTGCTGTGCTTTACTATCAGCTAGCAGAGATGGGGACACCGAGGCAGCCTGGGGCAGGTGGCATGGGGCCCACGAGCTGTGGGAACTAGCCCAGCGAGACTCAGGCTTGTGTATTTTCTGTGTAACTTTCATGGACCAGCAGTAGTCACTTCAATTCATTGTGACGGACAAGACAATGCAGGAAAAGCCCATGCCGCATTCAGAGCCTTTTGCTGGAGAAACGTGTTTTTGTTATGCAGGGGTTTGAGCTGGACTGGTCTCTTTGTCCCTGCTGGGATCCTGCTTGACCCTTAAAAAGCCATCCCTGCTTTAGCCTGAAATCTTGTGCATCAAGTGTAGAGATGGAGCCAAAGACTCTGTATCTGAACACCTCCGAGATTCAGAGAGTTTGGCTATGAACTCGGTAGCTTGCATCCAGTGCTGGTGCAATAAGATGTAAGTTGCTTTATCTGTCTGCCCTATTAGGACAACCCCAGCTATCAGATTCTTATGCACGTGTGTGTGTCCTTGGCAGGTCACGGATGGTGGTACCATCAAACAGAAGATCTTCACCTTCGATGCCATGTTCTCCACCAACTACTCGCACATGGAGAATTATCGCAAGAGAGAGGACTTGGTGTACCAGTCCACAGTGCGGTAAGCCACTCTGCCTCTATTGAAGAGACTTCTCAAGGCTTTCCTAAAGTATAGGGGATGGTAGTTTCAGAGGCGTGTGCGTGTGTGTCTGTCTTCATCCCTGTCTGAACTATGCAAACCCACCACGAGGCAATGATAAAGCACACCCAGACCGCTCATTTTTGGGACAAGTGTAACACATGATGTATATTCTGTTTACTCTCTTTGCTCAGGTCTGTTACTCACAGCTCACACCCACGAGTGTAGGTTATCATCCAGAGATCATAGAATCCAGTGTCGACAGCACAGTACTGTTTTCCGCAAAAAAGCCCCAATGGCTAAAATGGCGATCGGGGCTTTTTTGCGGAAAAGCGCGTCTAGATTGGCCACGGACGCTTTTCCGCAAAAAGTGCTTTTGCGGAAAAGCAGCCTGCCAATCTAGACGTGCTTTTCCGAAAATGCTTTTAACGGAAAACGTTTCCGTTAAAAGCATTTCTGGAAAATCATGCCAGTGTCGACGTAGCCTTTGTTTAACCAGGATTTAACATTCCGCGTGGTGGTGGCTGGGTGGTGCTGGTGGCCAGTGATTTGCAAGTGGTCAGACCAGGGGGCCCTTCTGGCCTTCAACTCTATGCAGACATGAGCTTCCCATATGTAGAGAATCAGCTGTGGCTTGGGTCACCCCGAGGCACCTGCGTGTATCTGTGAGGCTTTGGAGACTGGGATTAAGGCAACGCCAAACATTACCGTGGCGGTATGGAGTGGAGCGGGGCCATTGCTTTCTCTGGCTAAGTTCAGTTCTGTGTGTTGCTCATCCCTGAGAGCCTACCAAAGGCCCTGATCACGGTGTGAGCCCCACTCTTGAGCGGGATCTCCTGAGTTTGTGCTGATTTCTTGTGGCCTGATTCTCCGGGGCCCAGCCCCTTGGGCAGTCACTTACTGCAGCGGGGTGGGTCTGAAACGGTAGCATTTTGCACGCACCCGCCCTGGTGCTTGCACCCAGGGGCTCTCCTCTCCAGAGCCCACGGTGAGCACGTTAATGTCTCTGAGGACAGCGATGGACACGCGGTCACGCTGACCTCTTCCCTGTTCCCACTTGCATCACCCGGAGATCCCATCCGGAAGAGGCACATCGGGAGCCAATGAACACGCCCAGCCTGGCCGAGCCAACCAGGCATTGTCATTCATGATGTTCCCTCTCGTGATTCAGAACGTGAGGAGAGCGACCGAGAATGCGACCTGTTCTCTCCTGCCCTGCCGGTGCCGTCCTCGAACCTCCCACCTTCCTCTCTTTCTCGGCGTCCTCTCTCCTCACCCAGTTCTGAGTATCTGCCCCCCCTTGGCAAATGCTGATTGGAAACTTGGATGCCAGTAATTTGGGGGAGGAGTCCCCCCCCCACCCCCTCCCTACTCTCCTCTGTCTTATGGCAGCTTCGAGGCTGCTGTTCAGTGAAATGCGAGCAGCTGCTTTGGATGGACATGTCAAGACTTTAAATGTTGGTGCCGCGGTTATTTCCTACCTGCTCTCATCCCAAGAGCAGGGAGAAGGGAGGCATTCGAGAGGAAGAAAGCTTTTAAAATAAAAATGAGGGGAGGGGGAGCAGAGGCAGCCCGCACAACCCAAACATTTTATGAAGAGGAATCGAATTGTAGACAAGGGCTGTTGGTGCTTTTGCTAGATTGGCGGCAGGACTTGGGGGATAAGAACGCCGCATTTACATATAAATGAAGATATTTACAAATTAATGCATTTCAAGCAAGAGAAAAATCCCGGCATCGCAGCTGTCAGCGCTTCCTCCTCTCTTGCTGGGGGAGCGTGAGAGAACGAGGCGAGGAAGAT